TAAGTTTTATTGCTCCAACACATGGTTAACTATGTTTGTAAAAGAAACGCTTCTAGGGCTTAAATTGCTTATTGACCCTCACATACTGAGAGTGGGATTTTCAACTAGCCATTTCTTGTAGACAACTGAGGCTTCCTTTGCTAGGACTAGATTGCATTCAAGTTGTTGGTCAGGGGGTTCCAATGGAATCCCCCAAAAATCCAGAATATAGCTAAGTCAAAACATGGTTCTCAACAAACAGACAGCAGACTCCATTGCCACGGTCAACACCCACAGAACTCATTTAACATGAAGAACTAGAACTGGTACCTACATGGAACCCTTACCACTTTATTATGTTCTCTTTGGTGCAGGAAGGTACTTTACAAGCTACCTTTGACCTACAGTCTGTCCTGACTGAAAAATATACTAGGGCAAAAGGGGCACAGAATTTATGGGAGTCACCAAAAAATATGATTGGATATAAGGCCCACTCCACGAGAAGGAGCCCATGCTTGACACTCCTTGGGTCACAAATAATTAAAGACTAGATAGCCCAGAGGCCTATTGTAACATGACTCTTAAAAAGTCTTATTAATAAAAACAAACCCAGGGCCAGGTATTGGGGCAAACTCTGGAAGTTCAGAGAAGAAGAACAAGCCACAGCCACCTCACCTTGCCAATTCCTCAGCTGATCCTGTTTCCTCAGACTGGAAGCCTCTGAATCCTCATCCAGAATGGATTTCAGCTGAACTGCTGCTAAAAGCCTAAAAGCTTAACCAGGCTCTAGGTCCTGGTCCTCACACCATGCCTGATTGTTTCCAGTGTGGCTTTGAACTCACAGAGATCCAGATGGATCTCAGCCTCTGGAACGCTAAGATTAAAGGTGTGTGTGCGTGTGCCACCATTTTCTGCCCTCTATGTCTAGTGGCTGTTCTGTTCTCTGACCCTAGATAAATTTATTAGGTTGCACAATATATTGGAGAACACAATATTACCACAGCCTATGGTAAAATCTCATAGAACTGGTCTTAAAAAAAAACAAATTATTCCTAATTATATTCTACTATATTCATAGATCAGTGCCTTGTCCAGACATCATCACAGTGGCTTCCTCAAACAGAGATGGGAACAGATGAAGAGACACACAGCCAGACATTATGTGGTGTGAGAGTCTAAATTGGACATATCTATCTATCTAACCCATCAGCTCTGAGCTCAGGGAATCCCATGGAAAAGGAGAGAAAAAGTGTAAGAACCAGATAGATTGGAGGACAGTAGGAGAACAAAATATTCTGAATTAAATAAGCCAGGCACTTTTGAGCTCTCAGAGAATGAAACAGAAAGGACAGGCCCTACATGTATCTACACCAAGTACACACACACACACACACACACACACACACACACACACACACACACAAGTATATAATAGATATTAGCTTAGTATTTTTATGAGGCACATGATTGTAAGAAACTGGTTCTCTGTCTCTTTTGCCTCCTCTTAGGACTCTTTTTCTCTTGTTAGTTTGCTATGTCTAACTTCAATATGATATTTTTGCTTCATCTTTTTATATTTCATTTTGTCACGTTTGATTGTTATCTCTCAGAGGCATGTTCTTTTCTAGTAAGAGATAGAAGGGAGTGGAGCTAGATGGGAGAGGAGGTGTGAAGGGACTGAGAGGAGGAGAGGGAAACAATAAGCTGGATATATTGTCTGAGAGAAGAATCTGTTGTCAATAAAGAAAAAAAGCATAAAAAGAATACATATCAAATAATTAATTTTTAAAGGAAAAACATGACCAATTTTGTACCAAGTGGGGCTTAAACAATATTGTTTTCTTTAAAAATCAGGAACATTAAAACAGTGTTGGGTTTCAACAGATTGCTCAATCTTAGCCAGAGTAGTAGGGCAAGTTTAAGAGATAAAAAGTAATAACAATAAAAGGAGAACTCAAATGATGTTTATTTACATAAGACATGATTATACTTTCAATCGATTCTAATGCTTGCAGAAATTTTTGATATTTTATAAGCATCTTTAGTAAAACTGAAGGTTTAGCAAAATGAGCTTGTATGATTGTGTGATCCAGAAGATCAAAGAGTTTACTGGGAGATTATGTCTCCCAGTAATGTGAGAAGCTACACCCATAAACTTTCACCAACATGACTGCTTAAATATTAACAGAACAAATAAATAATAGAAGTGACAAAGTGGATGAGGGGGGGATAACTACAGAGAGCTAATAAATGCCAAGAGTAGAAGAAATAGTCTTTTTCAATGAAGATCATACCAATTCATTAATTATTACAAAATGGTCAGTCCTGAAAGCATACCTATTCAGACTGACCAGATTATATCTAATAATGTATGTATATATATATATGTATATGTATATGTATATGTATATATATATGCATGCCCATATATGCATGATACATTGTTTTAAAAGACTATGATTTTTGAACAACCTGGACGTGAGTGGGGGTAATGAAGGGCAAGGTTCGAGGGAAAGAGAGTTTATGGGAGCAGGAGATCCCAGCTGAATCAAGAACAGAGAGGGAGAACAAGGAATAGGAGACCATGATAAATGAAGACCACATGGGAATAGGAAGAAGCAAAGTACTAAAGAGGTCCCTAGAAATCCACAAAGATACCTGCACAACAGACTACTGGCAATGGTCGAGAGAAAGCCCGAACTGACCTACTCTGGTGACAGGATGTCCAAACACCCTAACTGTCCTGCTAGAAATCTCATCCAATGACTGAGGGAAGCAAATGCAGAGATCCACGGCCAGGTCCCAGGTTGAGCTCCAGGAGTTCAATTGGTGAGAAAGAGAAGGGATTGTATGTACAAGAATTGTTGAGACCAAGGTTGGATAAAGCAAAGGGACAAATAGCCAAACAAATGGAAACACATGAACTATGAACCAGTGGCTGAGGAGCCCCCAACTGGATCAAGTCCCCTGGATAAATGAGACAGCTGATTAGCTTGAACTGTTTGGGAGGCGCCCAGGCAGTGGGACCAGGACCTGTCAGTGCATGAGCTGGCTGTTTGGAACCTGGGGCTTATACAGGGACACTTTGCTCAGCCTGTGAGGAGGGGACTGGACCTGCCTGGACTGAATCTACCAGCTTGAACTGAATCACCAGAGGAGTCTTTGCCCTGAAGGAGATGATAATAGGGGGTGGGCTGCGGGGAAGGCGGGGTGGGGGTGGGGAAGGACAGGGGAATCTGTGGCTAATATGTAAAATTAAATTATAATATAAAAATGTAATAGAAAAAAGGCTATGATTTTAAATAAAAACAAGAGGAGCATATGAGGGATCTTGGAGGGAGGAAAAGAAAGATATATTTAAAATATTAAATAAAATGAAGATTAAAAATTATGGAGATAGACTTAATTGCTTTTTACCTTATCTGACCATTTCCAATCAGTTAACATAGTTTTAACATCTAAAAATTTGGTCAATTTTTCTTGTCTTTGAAAATCTATTTGAACCCATGTATGTAAAATTGCCTATTCATGATTTTAATTTCAAAAAATTTTACAACATCTCTCCATTTTTCTTCTTTAGACTATTTCCCTTATTGTTTTAATTATATCATTCCTCTCTTCCCTTTCTTCTCTCCAAACCAGCCCATATATTCCCTCTCCTCTCTTTCACCTTCCTAGCCTCTTTTCCTTTAATTATTGGTGTACATACATAGATATATACATACAGAGAGATAGCGAGTTAGACAGACAGATAGAGATATGTTGCTGGCTCTGCAGCTGGGATCCCACTGTCTGTGATCCAGGAGGCAGGGGGTGAATAGACACAGAATCAACAGCACAGGCTCTGGTAGACTCAAGCAATCTGGTTTATGAATGAAGGACTGAGGTACTTACGTGTGTAGTTTTGGGCAGGCTCTGCTTCCTGCTGCTGTGGTGTTTCCTGATTGGCTCTGAGTCTTATGTCAGCAGTTGTCATCTTGGGAGTTTCAGGGTCCTCTGGGTCAGGACACTACTGTGCATATCACAGCTCTTTGTTTGCTTAAGTCATGGCCCAATGCTTTTGGCCTTACCTCCTCATATATAGGTATTTCTACACACATTTTGTAGAAATATCAGAAAGTACATCAATGAAACGTTACTGAAATGGCTGCTTAAACATAACCAGAACACAGACAACACCAGTGAACACGCTAGTGTGAATGAGAGAAAACTCAGGATTCATCCAATCTACACAAAGAACCACGAGAAACTGAAGAAACTGTCTATTTTAATGCATGACACTAATTTTTAATTTGTAGTATTCTATTAATGAAATATGTTAAAATTTGCTTCAATATTTCCTTTATTTTTAAATCCATTGATTCTCTATGACAGTCTTATTCATAAAATCTTTGAAACTTAGGCTACTAGTAAACTTTGTATACTAGATTTTGCCTGATTTTTTTCTAATGGTTTCCAGGATAAAATTGATGAACAGGTGCTGTGGGATATTTGTACACTGTAAAGATGTATTCCTGTGATTGGTGTAATAAAAAGCTGAACAGTCAATAGCTAGGCAGAAGAGATCAGTGGGATTTTAATGCAGAAAGAGACCCTGGGGCAGAAGGTGAAGTCACCCACCAGATATCTGAGGAAGCAGGATGGGCAGTAGAAAGTAAAGGTAATGGAGCCACATAAAAGAACATAGATTAAGAGATATGGGTTAATTTAAGTTATAAGAACTTGTTAGGTGTAAACCACTGAGCTTTCATAATTAATAATAAGTCTCAGTGTCTTTTTGTGAGCTGACAACCCAATGAAATATCTGTCAACAAAAAGATGTTGGTGCTATACTTTAAACATGAAACATGAGCCCTGATTAATGTGTATCATCCTTTGTACTGTGCTTCACTATAGGTTTGCAACAAGAGTACAAAGCATCATTGTGTGTTCCAAGTTGGAGTCAGACGAAAATATTTTACTTTCTATTTCTTGGATTTTCTTTTCTGGAATGTCATATAATTGGAATCACATAAAATGTATAGAATTAAGTTCATCTTTATTCAAGTTTGGTGGGTCATATTTATAATCAGCACAGTAGTCACCAGATCCCAAAGTAGTGACTCTTCTTTCCCAGGAACATGTCAGTGGACACGAGCACTTCCAAGGTTAGATCTTCAAGGACCTTTCCTTATTCAAGCTATAATTATTACTGGCTTTAGTATGTAATTTTTATTATCATTATTTTTTCCTGGAGGGAATGAAAAATATAACCATTAATGAAAAAGAGGCTAAGGACTTGAAACAGGGGATGGGGAGCTTATGGGATGGTTTGAAGAGAGGAAAGAGAAAGGAGGAATAATGTAATGTGTTTATAGGCTATTTCATGATAACATTTTAGATAAGAAGGGAAATGATGCAATGAATGTGTTTTGTGCCTGTGTTTTTTGGTTCACTCTGATTTTAGGTGGAACTTTAGCCCAGGTTTTCAGAGAGTAAGAGAGATCCCAATATAAATCTGCTGCAAAGGTGACCTATAAAGCAATAACTTACTGAAATGAGCCCTCAGAGTCCTGCTAGGGTTCTGGAACCCACAACGAAAGATTATTGATGTTTTCAGCTGAAATGCTGTCAATTAGATGTACAGGTTGCCATAACAGCTCCAGGGTATAGCCTGAACCCTGCGGTAAATTTACTGGATCTTCCCTGAAGCCATAGGGCCAAGCACATAGCTCTTTCCTCTAGGAGATACAGATGTCCATCTTCTTGGATGAATGCCAGAAACCAGAATATGATTTTGATGTACCTTGTTTCTCTTACAGTATTTGGGCCTTGTAGTTAAAAGCTTACTTCAAAAGTAAGTTTGTTTTTGCTTTTGTTTTTAAACTAGAAATTGATGTTCCCAGTGTGTATAATTCAGTAATTCTGAAAATGAAATATGAACAAACTTATACTTACTACTAATTCTGCAACATAGTGATAATAACAGTTATGCAATTTTAAGTTGAGAAAACAGCTAGTTTCATTAAGATTGCTTTTCTATGAAAAAACATGTAGCTTTTTAAATAAGCGTTTTATTCCCTTGTCTGAATTGCCTCATTTCCAATTCACACTGCTCCATGCTCAGCCATCTGGCTCCCTTCCTGTCAATCTATTGTCGCTTTTGTTGCCAAGGTCACTTTTTCTTTTTGTCCCTAATTTGAATGGACCCTTTTCAGACTTTATCTTTTTGAATTCTCTGCAATAGTTCAGGATGCAGCCCAGCCATGTAGGAAAGCTTATCCAGCTGCTGAGTCAGACTGTCTCCAAATCATAGCTTAAACCTTTGAGACTAAATCCAGCAAGGGTTTATGGCAAGAAAGAATCGGTTCAATCTGTTTTGCCTCACTTGGTAGTTTGACTCTGAATGAAAAATAAAAAAGGAAATCCCTGATGAATGAGTATAAATGCATTTGATTTTTAAGAGAACACCGTTTGCTTGATTATACATTATCTCTCCCTGATAGCCTGTGTGCCAGAACATGCCACCCTCAAAGGAAGTTAGTCACAGTATATGCAGGAGTGGAAACAGGACTCAACTTAGACTTCACATTCCTCTTCACTGGACTAGAGGATAATACAGGGTTAAGAAAGAACACCAATTTGCACTCCCACTTACAGTAAACAAGGTGAATCCAAGCCAGCATTTGTCATCATTTCTTTGTTTGTTTGAATTTATCTTAGTCATTTTGGCTGGAGTAAGAGGAAATCTGAGAGTGCTTTTAATTTGCATTTTTTAATGGCTACAGATGTTGGACCCTTTTAAAAAGGTTTCTTAAACATTTGTGTTTCATCTTTATAACTCAGTGTTTAGTTCCATGGTCCATTTTTAATTAGGTTTGTTTTCTTGAAGCATATTTTTGTAATTGTTTTTGAATTCTAGAAGCAAACCTCTCCCAAGTAATAAAACCCAGAACCAGTTAAATTCTGCATGAAATCTGACTAAACTTCAAAGAAAAATCTCTAATATTCCCCAAATGATTCCACAAGATAGAAAAAGAAAGATATGGTTACAAATTCCTTTTATGAAGCTAGTGTTTGTTTCTCTAGTACCAAACTCAGAGGCCTAACCACCCAAAAAATATGTTGAACATAGATGTAAAACATCTCATTAAAATACTTGTAAATTGAATTCAAGAACACATCAAGAAATTATCCAGCCTGACAAATCTGACTTCATTCTAAAGATGCAGGAATGATTTATCATATGTAAATAAATAAACATGGTCCAGGAGGTGAATATCCTAAGGAACAGAAACCAGATGGTCATCTCATTAAAGTTAGAAAGGACATTTGACAAAATGTGTCACTTCTTGAAAAAAAAAAAACTGAAACGTATAGGAATACAGGTACATATCTCAATATAACAATGATAATGTATAAGAAGGGTTACATTTATGCATATTTAAAATTACCTATTTATGTTATCTTTCATTTTAATCAGTAGAATATAGTTAAGAAAGTTTAATTTTGTCTTATTTGCTTTTAAACCTCCAATTTATTTTATTTTTCCTATTATGAACAAAACATGAATGAAAAAACACAGCAAGTCTAATGTGAATACAGTTAATCAAATATTTCAACTTCATACTAATATTTTCAATGACTTCAGAATTCTAGAAAGGTGAAAATTAATGCAAAATGACAATATTGGACTACTTCTATTTCTTATTATCATTTAGCTCTTAATGTACATATACACTATAGCAAATATGGTAAGCTCGCAGGGTGAACTGCAGGAGACATTATTTGATTATGGGACATGAATGCCTTAAAAGAACTGTTTTATTGTGTAGAATATTTGTGGACAGGTAGCTGAATAGGTTTGGGGAAAGGATTATTTCCTAGTCCCCAAGTGTTATATTTCAAATGCAGTGATTTCCAAAATATCATTCACAATTTTCTTCTTAACCAACTATGTGCTTCTTGTTAAGCAAATATAGAAAAATCATAACGCTGAGAGATTTCAAATGATTAAATTAACATTGATGAACTCCTATTTTAATTAAAATAAAATTATATAATTTCCCCATCTCTCCTCCCTCCAATTCATCACATCTGCCCCACCTCAACACTCTCCCAAATTAATCACTACCTTCTCTTTAACCATTGTTACATATGCACATAAATGAATAAACCTACTGAGATCATTCAGTGATGTCTAAAGTAGACATTTAGGACTGATAACTTGGTGTTAGACAACAAATCAGACAGTGCATGCCAGGGGAAGACAATTCTCCCCCTCTCAACAGGTGTTAATTGCTTGTAGGTCTTCATCTATGGAAAGAGTCCTGTGAGATTTTCTCTGTTGACACTGGAATGTGGAATCTGAATGGAACTTCCAGGTCTTGTGTAGGTAGCCACATGGTGGAAAATTCTTCAGGAAAGCTTCTCTTTCATAACTAGAAGGCACAGTCTCACCACAGACTTTATAGTCCTCTGGCTATTAAAATCTTTTCAGTCCCTCTTCCAAGATGTACTCCTGAGACTTGAGTAGAGAAGTTATAATGGAGACATATCTATTAGGTCTGGGCATCACAGGGTCAGGGGTTTACAGAAATTTAACTAGCGAGGGCTTTCTGTAATGCTCTCCTTGTACTGCTGCTCACAATAGTTTCTTTGGTGGGAAACGAGATCTACGTCAATCTATGGGTCTAAGAACAATATCTAGAATGTGGTTAAGAATTATCCTGGTTTAGGAAATCGGCTTTAGTGTTTTCTGCTGTTAGATCCAAATCACTTTGTCGGTTATAAATGTCTTCTGTGTTTTGAGGCATTTTTAAAAAGTCTGTGCTAATGTCTAAGTTTGGAATAATTTTGGCAATTCCCCCTTAAACATTTTGAACAATTAATGTATTAAATTAAAAAGCCTTTGTTCTTTTTTCTAATTTAATTTTTTACAGGTTGACAGATAACAATTTTCATTTTGTCTACATTTGGATATATAATTGGAGACAAATTTCTAAGTGTTGTGCCCAGATCGCGACCTCCAGAGAGATCACCGACGATGAGCATGCTGGGATGCAAAAGCAAGGTTTAATTCAGGATATCCAAAAGCAATACAAGCCTAGGCAGGGACTTTGTCCAATAGATCCAAAGCAGTAGAGGCTGGAGGAAGTGCCCGCCTCTCTGCAAGCTCAGATTTTAAAGGCAAAAACCACAAGGTTACATCATTTAGGGATGCTAGTGTGGCTACAATTCTGATTGGCTCGCTTCTAGGGACTTTCTAGAAATCATGGCTTAATCTTACTTCTAAGGGGTAGTTGCCTGCCACCATTTATCATTGGCTGCCTTCAGGTGGGGACATTTCTGTGGTCAGTTACTCTAGAAACCAGGGTTGGAACATTCTTTGGTCAAACAGTTACCTAGGGAACCAGGGAGAGGACATTCCATAGTCTGGCAGTCATTACCTCTTGACTACCTTGTGACTTTATACTTTTACACTTTCTGATTTCTGGAATCTGAACTGACTAGTTTCAGTAACTCATAGCCTATTCCAGTAACTCATGGCCTGTACCTAAAAGGAGAAATCTTAGGCTTTAGTTTTAGGGTGAAAGGATTTTGGTCTTATTTTGGTTCCACACTAAGCAGTCTTGCTAATTAAAAAAACATGGACCAGAAATAGGGGTGAAAATCTGACAGAGATCAGAGGAATTAGAACAACCACGAGCTAATCTTACCTCACCATGCTGCAGCTTCCAAAGCGTGTGATTTCCTGTCCAGACATATATCTTTCCATTCTGCTAACTCATTTCTTCTCTCCACCAAGCTACATCACTTCCTGTCAGTCTGCACAGACCTCCTGAACTCTATGGTTGATCCTGGGATTAAAGGCATGTGTTACCACACTTGGCTCTGTTCCCTAGTGTGATCTTGAACTCACAGAGATACAGAAAGTTTAAGGGTGTGTGCTAACATTGCATGACTTCTGCTTTTACTAATAGTCGACTGACCTTTATCCTCTGATCCTCAGATAAATTTTATTGGGGGACACAGATAAATTATTACCGCATACAGTTTTCCCAGCATCATTGTCGAAGGTTATTGACTTTCCATTATCATTTTTCTCACCTTTCTCAACAAATAGCTAACAGTTGCTATATGGATTAGTTCCTACTTCCTCTATTCTATTTCATTTTCCTGCATATCAGTACTGTTTGTTTTTTCTTAATTGCATTCTTGTACAATTTTAATCAGATATTTACATCTTTAACATCTCTGTTTCTTCTAGGTATTATTTGGGGTATATAGAATATAGTGTTTATCTTTATAAATTTACGGGATTTTTTCAATTTTTATGAAGTAAATCTTTGGAGTTTTTGTTGTAATTACATTGATATTATTGAAAATTTTAGGTAATATTATCATGATAAGAATATTTTGCCAATGTGTGCATATGGTAAATCTTAACATCATCAGGTATACAATTAAATTTGTTTTTCCAAGGATTTTAAATTTTCATTACAGCAATCTTTGAGTTAGTAGCTTAGGTTTCTTTCTAAGTAAGCTTTTTTTTTTTTTTCCAAAGCACCTATCAATTAGTTTTTGTTTCTTCATTCCTTTCTAATCACATTTATTAATGGTACATAGAAAATCTACAGAGTTGGGTTGTTATTGTTTTTGTTTTCCTTTGTTTTATTTTTGAGATGAGAAACATTAAATAAAATAAGGACATTTCCAAATAAAAATTCAGTGAAGTCAAAATAGTACTTACATAAAATTTAATGTTATCAATTGGACAAGGGCTTCTATACTACTGTTCGTAAAAGCCTATGGCACAAATTTCATGTAGGACATGCTTCCTTTCCCACTTTAAAGCAGAAATGCAATTCATACTACACAACAGAATTCGTTATCAAATATGTTTGTCAAGTAAATCTATTATTTTAACACTTATTAACTGAAAACCATACACATGTTAAAATTATATTTCACTTGTTCTGCCAGTTTATTAGGTTTCACTTCTTAGTGCTTTAAAGAAGCTGATTTGGGTGTCACTGTTTTTAAGCTTTTCAAAATACACAGTTGGGAAAAAAATGGATCTTTCAAATGTGCTTTTCTAATTTTTCTCTGTATATTAACATGCATACTGGCACACATTCCTAATAGTAATAACAATTATTTTATTAATATTTTCTGTGTAAAGTATTCTGTTTTTAGTATAATTATGGTGATTCAAATTTCAATAGTTAAATCCAGCTTTGTTTATGTTACATAATGAGACTTAGGAAATGATCAAAAGAATAAATAAATGTTAAGCAAAAATTTGTGAGTTATACTATGATCATCTGCAATTAGTTATTAAAATAAATATGAAAGCCTGTGCTTTTCATTTTCCGTTTTGTTGTGTTTAGCTTTCAAATCTTCATTTATCACTGTGTATTTAACTGTAACAACAAATATTTAAGACTAAAATGTAGCTTGGTGGTAGTGAGAATACCAAGCATGCCAAGGTATTGAACTCAACCACCAGCCTCACAAACCATAGCAACAATAGTCTTCTGCAGTTGTATTTAAAAAAAAAAAAAAAAAAAAAAAAAAACCTGCATAGTCATGTCAATACAATGGTAATGGCTGTAAGAATATGGTCAAGTGGGAGAATAACATTTTTTTGTAACACAGAGAGTAATGATTAAAAATGTCTATTTGTTAATTTCATAGAGGCAATTAGATTTATTTTGAACATTTATACTTTTTTAAATGTCAAATTTTTACCTCTTAAGTAATGTGCGCATATGTAACAATCAAGCATATAAATCCTATATTTTATTCATTTGGCTCTTTGCCATTTTTTTAATTATTTGATCTGAAAATAAGCTGTAACACTTTCTTTGAGATAAATTGATAAGATAATTCCACATCAGTTTCAGAAAGATAGAGTCCCTTATAGGACAGCCCTCCTTTCTGGAGAGACAAAGCAGTATTTTCTCATCAAACTATACTTAATTTTAATCTCTTTATTCAGACAAATTTGAATGAATACATAACATGTTTCCCTTTCTCCTGGCTCTTCTGATTTTGTAAATTTTGTATTTCTTCTGTGAATATCATACATGAAAATATCCCTTCTGAAGACTCTTTGCATTCAGTCTGATTGCTTGTTCTCTGCATCTCTGCCTGTGAGAATTTGCATGATTATCACATCATCAAAGACAATGTATTCACATACTTGCTTGAAAATCTGCTTCCATCAGTATGCTGTGTTTTTTAAAAACACATTGTTCTTTAGAACATATTACAAAACATTGCCATGGCATTTCATGTAGATTCTACTAAATTAAGTATGAAGAATTAGGCAACTAAAATGTATTGGTAACATTTTTAAATGTTTATCTAATGTTAACTATCTATGCTCATGAAAATAAGCTCCTTAAATTTTTTATAAAATATTTTGTACTTTCTGTATCTGTATATAGGATGTTAGTAAGCATGTTCCTGTAGAGTTTAGTTCCTGTAATAGATAACACATACTTAACATCTATTTAAAGTTCTTAATCAAAATGTATTGAAACATATAATACCATGACTTTAAACATTTATTTTCAGTTTAACAAACTCTTATTTCTTTTCTAACACTCTCTAAATTTCAATTTCTGCAAATTTCAGGAAACCCTATTTATAGTTCTTTAGTGATCTACTCAACTCTTGAACACATCTTGAGACCATTTTAAATGGATGCTATTGATTGATACCTCTGTATCTTGCCCTGACTGAACATGCATTTTTATAGTCTATGTTAAAAATAGTTCTTAAAAGTAATCCCTGTTGCATATTATCACAGACTATTTACCACATTTAATCTACTAATCACTTGCTCAGTTTTTCTAATATGACTTTTTTAACATGGAATGATGATATCATTTTTTACAAGAACCACCCAAATTATTACTAAAAATGTACAAGTTAATCTTTATCTCAAATTCAAATTAATAGCAGGTTTAAAAATTAATACCTGGTAGTTTAAGTCCATACCTACAACTACATGTGGTTCACAGGAAGTTTCCAAGTAAGGAAGCTGGAACAGTTATTAGAAGCATGACACTTTGTTTTTTATATATTTATAGTTAAAATAAATAGTTCAATGAAAAAGAATTATTTTTAATACAGCACAAGCTCTGAATGGTTTGAGTCTTCTTTCTCTCCCCCGCCCTGTATAATTCCGTCTACCTTTTAAGTAGATCCATTTTTATCACCTTTAGAGACTTAATTTTGAAGACATTCTTTAATATGAAAGAAGAGGATCGTTAGGTTTCTTTCTTTTTTTTTTTTCTTACAGTCCATGGACACAAAAAATTTATTGTATTTCCCATAATATTGTAGAGAACATGTCCGGCCTCTCTAAGTACATTTTTAAAATATCCAGTCGACACTAGGCGATGGAACTGAGCAGCATTTGGTATATTCAATAGTCTGCATTAATGGTGGTTGAGACACCATCCAATAAAAGGAAGCTCTGTGTTTCTGAATTTTCCTTTACCTACTAGATATGGTTTATTTTATTTTATTATTATTTTATTTTATTTTACAATACTATTCAGTTCTACATAACAGCCACAGATTCTCTTGTTCTCCCCCTTCCTGCCCCCCTCCCCTTTCCCCCAGCCCACTCCCCACTCCCACCTCCTCCAGAGCAAGGCCTCGCCCTAGGACTGCGATTGACCTGATAGACTCAGTCCAGGCAGGTCCAGTCCCCTCCTCTCAGATGGAGCCAAGCGTCCCTGCATAAGTCCCAGGTTTCAAACAGCTAACTCATGCAATGAGCCCAGGACCTAGTACCACTGCCTAGATGCCTCTCAAACAAATCAAGCCAATCAACTGTCTCACCTATTCAGAGGGCCTGATCCAGTTGGGAGCCCCTCAGCCTTTGCTTCATAGTTCATGTGTTTCCATTCGTTTGGCTATTTGTCCCTGTGCTTTATCCAACCTTGGTTTCAACAATTCTTGCTCATATAAAGCCTCCTTTTTCTCGCTAATTAGACTACTGGCGCTCCACCCGGGGCCTAGCCGTGGATCTCTGCATCCAGATTCCTCAGTCCTTGGATGCGGTTTCTGGCACAACTATTAGGGTGTTTGGCCATCCCATCACCAGAGTAGGTCAGTTTGGGCTGTCTCTCGACCATTTCCAGCAGTCTTTTGAGGGGTATCTTTGTGGACTTCTGTGGGCCTCTTTAGCACTTTCTGTCTTCCTTTTCTCGGGTGCTCTTCATTTACCATGGTCTCCTATTCCTTTTTCTACCTCTCTGTTCTTGATCCAGCTAGGATCTCCCTCTCTCTTTAGGTTTATTTAGGTTTACTTCTTATTCAAAGTATCTCTCTCTCTCTCTCTCTCTCTCTCTCTCTCTCTCTCTCTCTCTCTCTGTGTGTGTGTGTGTGTGTGTGTGTGTGTGTGTGTGTGTGTG